ATACTGTATATGTATATGTGTGTGTGTTTTCCAAATTAAACAATGTGTTGGATATATTATAATTAAGAAAGTAATTGCCAGAAATGTGGGGCTTCACATAACATCCATTTTACAGAGGTTTTAAATAGAAAATTAAAGTTCGACAATGGTAGTAACGATACAATATGTGAAGTAGCTCTTACTAATCCCATTGTTAATTGAGTACCATTAGCAATACAGCAAAATAATTAACTGTATCAGACTAAAGAAATCCAAGTCTGATTTTTACATAAATCAGTGCAATATTAAACCCTTATTGCTGGTGTCATACTGAGTACAACTATCTGGTTTACATGTTTACATGTCTTGCCTATTGCATGTTCCACAGCAGGCACACAAAGTAATGCAGAGACAGCTTGCCTTTCAGCATTTACCTTGGCATGCTTTCTTACACCCACAATGAATAAGGTCATTCAATGAGTTCAGTTTACAGGCTTGAGGCAGCTCTGACCATAGGGCTCCATCAACTTGTGCCCATCCTCACTTCCCAGGTGAAGGTGTTGTTGGTCTACGGTTCAATGATTGACCCCAAATAAATGCTGACTGGTTCACTGAGTGCTTGCTGTGTTCCCTGGGTGCTCCTTAGGTTGTTTTTTTTTTTTTTGTTTGTTTGTTTGTTTTTTTTTTTTTTTTTTGTTTTTGGGGGGGGGGGGGGGGGGTTCTAATGATTTGATACCTTTAGCAAATAGCTTTTGGTTAGCTATGTTTACACTTGTCTCCTCCAGTGTTCTAGAACCTAGAGTACAACAAAATCACAAAGTGCTCCAGTGTAGCATACATGCCTGGTGTGATATGCTCTATGTACCGAGAAAGCTGGATGAATACTGGAGTGATGTCAAATAGCTCCTATGTGATTTTTTTTTTTACCTCTTCCTGCAAATGTTGATGTTGAATCTCATCCAGTGAAAGAGTGAAAAAATAGCAAAGATCCTGCCTTTCCTTCTTCAAACCTGGTACTGATGGCATTTGCAGACATGAGCTCATATGATTTGTCAACACCAAATTCCAACCATAACTCCACTTCTATTTTCTGTACCATGGCTACTGCCAGGACAACCACATCAATGTCTACTGTGCACAACATCTTGCAATGTCCCAAGTGAGCAACATGTTTGGCATGTAGCAGTATGCATGTATCATTCATTCATTCAAACTTTATTTATACATGCCGGTCTCATTGAGCCACGAGGACTCATTCACAAGAGGGACCTGCTATCAGCCTCCTCATGTGTGCATCTCTCCATCCCAGCACTTTGGATGTTAGCCTCGAGCACATCTTTATCATATGTAGTGTACATCTCTATCTCATCTATGAGTTTTTAGTTTCTTTGACAGGTGGTGAAATAGATATTCTCGTCATTTCAAAAGAAAGCAAACCAGTTCTTTGGGATGATGACCTTGTGTTGCACATGTCTCTGCACCGTCTATTTTCACACCTTAGTCTCCTTCTTTGACGTACCTAACCCATGCAATATATAGCCTATTTACCTTCTGAAGTTCACATATAATGTAAGAGATGAATTCATCCATCCATCATCTTGGATGGATGGATGGATGGATGGATGGATGGATGGATGGATGAATTCGTTTTTGGCATAGACTTTAAAATTCAGTATAGTTTTCCATGCTAATAATGGCTGCTCCATCCATAATCCACATTGACTTCTTGTGCACACATGCCATCAGTGCACTGAGACTCACCCTCCAGACAAAGCATCAGGTCGGCCTTCTTCCCTTTCCTCATTCTACCATTACTTGAAAATGCAGGTGGATTGGGTTGGTTCTCATGAGCAAATAATTCTTCCAAATCCCTGTCTCTAACTTGACATGCTATGTAGAGGCTGGAGAAAAGTTGGCAGTTCTGTTTCAGGGCAGGAATATGTATGTATGTTGGACTTTGGTGTGGGCTTTTGAGTACTGATCTGAAACTAGGTAGGTTATTTCTCTTGACTGTACCAATAATTGATATTTTGTTTTATTCCAGTCCCTCCTCAGTGAAGTTTGCAAATTGTCGCTTTGACTGCTCTGATTGCATCTGACTTTTGCTCCTATGATTGCTTTGGTGTCTAGCTTTATGAGTTCACTTTCCTCCAAAAACGGGTTGCTCAGCTCCTCCAGAACTGTGCGCTATATATCACATGCAAAGTTTGTTTGAATATGAACAGCTTGATCATGATGACTTTCTTCTGCATTCTGGTGTCTTACAAGGTATCCTCATACCCTGATATCACTGTTGCTATCTCTGGTCCATCAAGAATCCACCTCTTCATTGCAGCTGGGTTGTTTGTTCATGAGACTAGCCTGGTGCTATTTGTGAAAATCTATGACAAGATCTTTGAACAACAATTCCTCCTTCCATAAACGCCTTATGAACTGAGGGGTGAGTTGTCTGAAGGGATGTCATGTCTCTGATACGAACAGGGTGCTAGAGATGTGGAGTAGTGGATATGGACTGAACTACTGGATCATATGTTCAAGAACAGCAACATAGGGTTCAACGTTTCCTTGTCGTAGGGCACAGACGTTCTGGTTTAGAAGTACAATTAACTCTATAAACATACAAAGTACTCCAATATATAACATCCCTGGCACTTTTCCACATCCCATTCTTCTTTGGTTTTCACTTCATCATGGTCCATCTGAAAATGGCTGAAAGTTCATCCTAGCAATAAATGAAGTGCTGCTTGTCCCCTGATGACCATGTCTTGTACTCTTCACATAGGACCCAAAGAGGAGGAAGGGGAAGGGAAGTCTGAGATTGTCATCATTTTATGTTCCCATACAATGGTGAAATTAGTTCTCTGCATTTAACCCATCACACCTGGGATACACCCAGGTGGAACAGTGGGCGGGCAGCACGGTGGCGCAACTGGTAGAGCTGCTGCCTCTCAGCGAGCAGGTCCCTGGTTCAAACCCCGGTCCAGGGGCCTTCTAGGTGGAGTTTGCATGTTCTCTCCGTGCATGCGTGGGTTTTCTCCGGGTACTCCGGTTTCCTCCCACAGACCAAAAACATGCATGTTAGGCTGATTGGTAACTCTAAATTGTCCCTAGGTGTGAGTGAGAGAGTGAATGGTTGTTTGTCTTTTTTTGTCTCTATGTGACCCTGTGATGGACTTGCGACCCGTCCAGGGTGTACCCCGCCCCTCGCACAGTGATTGCTGGACATGGGCACCAGCGACCCCCGTGACCCAAAATGAAATAAACGGGTAAAGATAATGGATGGATGGATGGATGGAACAGTGGGCAGCTTTGTAAGCGCCCGGGGAGCACGCAGTGGTGTAGTCTACACGATACGCGGGTATATGGAGTATACCCACTAGAAAGTGCAAGAATTTCAGTATACCCACTTAAAAGTGCCCAATGACACATGACATATCATTAGGCATGTGTCACTGCTATGTTAAACAGTAGTTAAATGCTTCCATAACAATCTATCTCTGTATGCTGCGCTTGTTTATTACGTTTGTTTATCCAGCGAATTATTGTATAACTCTGTACTTATTGCTTAATACTTGAACATGTTTTGCTTTGATACTATTATATAAATTCTGTAGCATGCATACAAAGCCAACTGCTGTACAACGTTTGTTGTACATTTATTCAAATATAAGCCTCAGAGAAATTTGGAAATGTTCAATATGCTTAAATTTCAAAATAAATTGACCATTACATTGTACTAACCAGTGTACATTGGTTTCTAAGCACAGTATACCCACTACAAAAATGTAGACTACACCACTTGCACATAGGGATTAGGTGTCTTGCTCAGAGACACCACGACATGTGGGAATGGCTGGGAGTCGATCCTGGGACTTTCTGATCCCAAGCTGGCTGCCCTACCTCTACCCCATCTCAGCCCATAAAAGTGAGAGCAGGGAGAAAAGCCTACCCTCTACCAGGTGT